TTTTGGATGCATATAATCAGATATGATGACATATTAGTCAACCGCTATTTTAGTATGCTGTCAATTGTTAAGGTTGTGCAGTGAAACTGTAGAAATCTGTAATCATAGAGCGAGGCACTAAACTCGTTTTGTTCATTGTTATATTGTGTGTTCATGGAATATTACCAATACATTTTGTTTCACGGGATAACTGTACATGTTAGAGTGCCTCAGGGCTAGATCAATTTCACGGATACTGTTAGGAGATTAGGATACTCTAGAAGAAGAGACAAAGCACAATGATAATATTTTAGTTTGCCAACAGGAATCACGTTGTAAATCATGATCAATTACTTAGACAATGTAGCCACCACCCTTACCGGTACAAAGTGACTGTAGACAATGCAGGTATAACATTCAAACGTTTAGACAGACTTACATGTGCCATTATAGTAAAGATCAAAGTTGCCGACAAGAAGTGACCGATTGTACAAAGTGTGAATAGCGCTTTCCACCGGATAAATCCTTATCCAGCGGATAAAATCCATACAAAAGCTATAACATCCAGCATAAATTAAGAAGAAGAAATTTCTTTAGGTCAGAGTGTTGAGTGGAAGTTCTGTCGCACAGGACCATCTTTTGGATCTTCCTTTTTCGGTTAGATAAAAAGCGCGTATATAAATTTGTATTTAATTAATCAAAAACTTTAATTAACCATTGAGTTTTACAATTTTTTGATCATTTAAACTTGAGTGTAAAGTGGTAATTTCATGGGTTTAATTTTTCATTCAAAAAGGCAAGTACTAAAATACTAAAATCCAGAAAAAGATCTTATAATGTTTTATTGACATAGATATGAACAAATCAGTTTTTTTTTGTCCTTCTAGACCTTTCTGCTGCCTTTGACACTGAATTGAATGGCGTGTCTGAGTTGCTCGTCTGCTGTTCATCATCTCAAATCGACTGTTGGTCGGTTGTTGGTCGGCTGCTTGTCGGTAGATGTAGCTGTTCTTCGGTTGTAAGCCGGTTTTTGATCGGCTATTCATCGGTTGGTGCTTTTTCTGTGTGTCGGGTATAAGTTTAGTAAGGTGCAATTGGTGCGATAGGATTTTAGATGGTTAGTTAGTTTTTATAATTGCTTGTAAGTAAAGTGTAAATAGTCTATATTATAGAACCGATCACAAATTAATCTGAATCTGGCGGAGTTGTGAATAAAAATTCATGTGACAGATCCTCACACGTATTACTTTCCTACTCAAAACTGTCTGCGCACAAAACTGGTTCGCGCAATATGTGAACATATTTAATACCAAAAACGAGCCAATCAAAAATCTACAAGTACGTGTCTGCACATCAAAACCTTAGTACCATATCCCGGGTTTAAATCTTTTTCAGCAGAGCTTAGTCAAGCAAGAAAAAGGTAGGATATGAAATGTTAATAGGCCGATAATTAAACCCTTGAAATCCAATAACTTAGAAAAGGTGCGATATTCAATTGTTTTCTTATAGCTATTATATTGCGCGCTCTCTGGCGCCTCAGGCTCGAGATTGTTTACGCCTTTTTCGTATTCTCCCAACATCACACGTG